TATCTTTAACTAAAAAATTAGGGGGTCGTCTTATACGCCCAGTCGCCTTATACGCCGGAAAATACGGTAAGTGATTGGGGTGCAAGAGGAGGTCTGGGGTCTGGGAGGGAGTTTGGGTGAAGGAGACAGTTCTGACCTGGGGCACTGGATTGGGGTGTAGGGCTTGGGTTGTGATCTAGGGTAGGGGATTGGAGTTGTGACATACAGCCCCAAAAAATTAGGGGGTCGTCTTATACGCCCAGTCGCCTTATACGCCGGAAAATACGGTAAGTGATTGGGGTGCAAGAGGAGGTCTGGGGTCTGGGAGGGAGTTTGGGTGAAGGAGACAGTTCTGACCTGGGGCACTGGATTGGGGTGTAGGGCTTGGGTTGTGATCTAGGGTAGGGGATTGGAGTTGTGACATACAGCCCCCTCCTGCCGTGACTTAGGGCAGGGGACTGGGATGCTGGAGGGAGTGCAGGGGTTTGGGTTGTGACTTTGTGGAGGGGATTGGGACGCACATTCTGTAAGGGGGTATGGGTTCAGGAGGGGGGACAGGATTTGGCTTATGTGGTGTAGGAGGCAGAAGTTGGGGGGCTTCTGTGGGGTAGGAGGCAGAAGGTTGCGGGGAGAGAAGGGCTAGGTAGACAGACGCAGGCTTTGACTGCGAGACTTGCCTAGGCTACTCCTCACCAACAGCCCAGCAGGGTTCTCAGGCTCCCTGCCTGCCCCACCTCCTAGCACAGGCTGCAGGGACCTTCTGCGTTGGTGACTAAGAACCTGAGGGGATGGGGACATGGTGCTTCCTGTGCTGGCTGTTTTTCAAATAGGCAGCTTCTGTTGGCCAGAAATTGGCAGGAGGTGGGTGTAGCCCGTGAAGCATCATTCCCCCCTCCCTGGGCTCACAACTGAGAGAGAGAAACGGCTGCAGCAGCCCCTTTTCTGAGCTGTGTGTGTGTGTGTGTGGGGATGTGTGAGGCAAGCAGGAGTCTGCCTGAGGCTCCCAGCTGTGTCCACGGGCCAGATCCTTCCCCCTGGCTGAATTTTGCCCAGCACTGCTACAGGTGATTATGTCCATCTGATCCACTCAGTATCCAGCTACTCTGGAACTTCAGATGTGTTGGAACATCAGAGTTGGCTTTGGATGATATTGTTAGTTTAAAAAAAGCCTCATCCACTTCCTCCACCTGTAGAAGACTCCTGGCATGACATCACCCTTGTTTTTAATCCCTTTTAGCCTAACCCAGAGACTCTCAACACTTCCGTCTCCTATGTTCATCTCCACCTCACTCCAAGTGTGTTCATTTTTAATACATAAGGCAACACCTCCTCCCTTTTTTCCCTGTCACCCACTAACATCAGCCACTAAGGGTAATTTTCACTGCTTAACTGGTTCCATCCCTAATTATGACTGTTAAAATCTTAGATATGGCCTCTGTTAAATTACAACTATGAAATGTGGACATTCAGATAATCAATAAATTACAATCCTTAAAATTATGTAGTTAAAAAGTATTCTAAAATATTGAGAAACCATGAAAGCAATAAAAAGGTATCTGAGATAGGAACTCAGCAAATGCTACTAAGAGATTTTATGGGAAAAAAGATTTGATTTGCAGGACACATTTTTAAGGAGGACAGCTTGTTGAAGGCCTTGAAGGAGAAAGTTGTTGGTTTAAAAAAAAAAATCTTGATTAGACAGTATCCTGGAGGGAATCAAAAGAAGATCTGGCTCTCAAACGGTATGTCTACACTGCACGCTGATTTCTAAATAAGCTACTTTGGAATAGAAACTCTGAAATAGCTTATTTCGAAATAGCGAATCTACACTACAAATGCCTGTTAAAGAAATAGAGCATCCACACTGATTGGAGCCTCAATCACACTTAAAGCCCCTTGGAAGCACTTCAGGCAGGGCACCAGGAAAGCACTGACTTCCTGGAGCTGCTTCCAGAGGTTATCTGAGGCTTATTCCTAAAGGGACCACTCCTCCCCCCGCCCCGTACAGTTGTGTCTCAGGCTCCTTTCCTTTGTCTACCTCCTTGAGGAACAGCAAAGCCTTTTCATTGCCCACTCTGGTTACCCTTGCAGACACCACATCACTCTAGCTATGGAGCCAGACCTGCCTCTTAAGTAGTCGATGGCTCTTAGACCCCATGCTGCACCTCTGCCTGCAGTTACTCTAGGCTACCCTTGTGACTCTGCAGGAAGAGGACACTCAACTCATTGGGGGGCATCTCTTCTCCTCTCTCCACATGCTGCTCATGCAGCACGACCCCTTCCCTGTACACTTCGCCACCTCTTCTGGCAACTGGACATCAGTTTCCTTCCTCTGTTGATACAATAAAGCAGACCTTTCGGTTTGAAATAAGAAACTCTATTTTGTGTTTAATTGGGGTAATTGCATCTGGGGAAAGAACGTGGGAGGCAGGAGGGAGAGGTTCAGGGATGGGGCTGGGAGTGGCGCCTGCTTCAAGTGGTCCCACCGCCTCATGTGCATGGTCCTTGGCGGCCACGGAGGGTGGGACTAGGGGCAGAAGCCGGAGGGGCAGGAGCTGGGATGAGAGTGGCAGCAGGAGCTGCCATGAGGCAGTTTATGGCAGTGGTGTAAGCTGCACACATGGTCTGGGCCTGCTGCAAGAGCTTCTGCCAGGTTGTGCGGTGCAGCTCCATGTCCGCCTCTAGAGACTGCTGCAGGACACACAGGCAGGTGATGTGCTCCCCCTGTAGGTTTTCTTGGGATTGTCTTTGCCTGTGGGTCATGTGGGGTCTGGAGGCTGGTTGTGCCCCCTGTGGACCAAGCTGTCTGTCATGCAGGCATACATATTGGCATTTCACTGTCTGACGTGTTGATCCAGGAAGTTGTTCTGCTCCCCCCAAATCTCAGTGAGATCCAGGATGTCCGCGTCAGTCCACAAAGACATCCTCCTCTTTTGGCCCTGCGCACTGGCTTGGGAGCTGGCTGCAGCTGGGCTGGCAGCTGTGGAGGCCTCAGATGGCATGCTGGGGTCTGCCATGGCAGATGTAGGGCAAAGCAGGGTGTTGCTGTGTGGCACTGGAGTAGCAGGGCCTGCTGTGTGCCACAAGCCCGTTCTGCTGTGGTGGACTGTAGAGTTCTGATGAGTGTGGCCAGAGTGACCAGCAGGGCACCTGTGGGAAGCCCTGGAGGTCACTTATTTTGAAATAGCTCTAGCTGCTCTGTCAACACACGCCTTATTTCAAAATGGGTGTTATTACTCGTAAAATGAGGGTTGCAGAAGTCAGAATAAGAAGCCCATTATTTTGACATTATTTCAAAATAATGCGCTTTCTGTGTAGACTCTCACTTTATTTTGAAATAACGCTAGTTATTCCAAAAATAACACTGCTGTGTAAATGTGCTCAAAGAGATGAGCAGCGGGTTAATACAGAGTATGTTGCCATGGTTCCAAACTTCTAGTAATGGAGATATCATATGTAATTGTTATAAATTGTACAGGTTGGACCTCCTTGGTTCAATCCTACATGAGATTGAAATTGGAGTAAAAATGTTCCTGAAAAATATTTTGGGGTATGTAAAGTGTTATGTCTTAATCACTCTCAGACCACAGTAATTTAAAAACTCTAATGTGAATTGCACAAGTTAAATGTCTCATTGAGCCATGCATAAAATGTGTAAAATAACCTGGAACATTTACTAATAAATTTTGTTTTATAAGGTATAGAGGCAGTGGCAGGGGAGATGGGGCTTGTGTGTAACCTTGAAGGTTAACCAATGAGCCCAGACTCATTGATTAACTGTTTAAACATGTATACAAACACTACTCTAGTGCTATCACACATTTACACTCACTGAGCTATATACTAAGTGTGAACGATAATAATGCTTTATAAAACAAAGAATATATAAACAACGAAGTGTGTACACTTCCAGTGCTAGAGCCTGTATCTCCTGTGTATGTGGTTATGTGCATGTGTGTCTCTTCACCATCAGAGAAGTTCATTTTCTCTGCAACCCTCATCCCCTTCTCTCCTTGATTTAGTTTTTCTCTTGTAATTACATCCCTGCAAATCTGTAGATATCTGCTTTATATCTACAAGCATCTGCAAATGTCGATGAGGATATCTCAGGCTCATTTTTGCAAATGTGGATGTAGACAACAATTTTGTATTTGTGCAGGGCTCTAATTGTGATGTGGTGCAGGCTCCCGGAGAGAAGTGTTTAGGAGGAAATAGTATGGCTGACAGCAATGCTTCTGGGTATAAGGGTTGGTTATAGCCTCTAAAAACTGTTGAAAGTTGAGAGAGAATATGTACTTCTGCATGCCCTAGAATTATGCCTTTTTGGGCTAATGTCAACTCTTAAGAGGGTTTTTTTAAATATGTTTTTTTTTTAACCTGTCATTTATAATCCGTAACTGGCTTCAGATTGAAATATTTAAGTAACTTTACTTCTAGTGTATATGTGTGGTATACTATTTCTTGTTGTTCTTCATGAGTGATGTGCACCCGGCACTTCGTTTTTTATTTATTTAAAACAGGAAACAAGAGCACTCGAACTTTAAATAATAAAACAATTAATGAATTACATGGACTTTGAAACAGGGAAAGGTGCTGTAGATCCAGCTTTGGATCTTCTAGTCACCATTGACAGTCTTCTTTAATTGCGTTCCAAAAAGTAGTTGGACAGGACTCTACAGTCTTCAGTTGGTATAAGTGATAATAGCTTATTTGCAACAACTATATTTTAGTTGAAAGTTCTGTTTATTGTTGAAACCTACCATAAGACGACAGAAATACTTTCCTTATGGGGCTATTAAAAATTATTTTAACAGGCACTTAAAAATGGGTCAATCAATGAGAGAGATTTGAAAAGACTTAACTTCTGGACTGAAGAGTTAAAATGATTCTCTAATATTTCCTTCCAGGCTGACTCATCATTAGAGACTGGGAAGGGCAGCAGAAGAGAAGCCAAACTTTTAAGCTGATAACTCAACAGAACTTTCCTCTGTGTTGAGGGCTCAGAGTGGAGTCATCATGAGCGATGTTACCATTGTGAAAGAAGGCTGGGTTCAGAAGAGGGGTAAGTTCAAATATAAACAGAAAATTCTTCTAACGTATAGCACGCTATCATTATTGAAAAGACTAATACTTTGCTGGAATGTTCTTTCCCAGTTAACAGCAAGCATTAATGTAACAATCTCTTAATGCAACAATTCAGAATACATGAGCACCCAAAATTAGGCTTGTGATTAGTGGTTATATATGTGAGGAATCTTGAAAAGTCACAGGGACTATTTGCATAAAGTCAAGCATGTGCCTAGCTGTATTTAATTTTCCAAATTAAAGAGCAATTTTGTATTAATTGAATTAAATTTAGCTTTTGGGTTTACTGTGTATAGTTATCACTGAATGATATAATACATTGAGGAATGTGAAGTTCTTGATCTTTGATTTAGTGATATGCCTTTTGCATATTTTAGAAACATTTTCTTGTATAAAGTTTATTTTTTAGCTTTTGCTGATTTGGGAACAAATATCTCTGACATGGAGGCCAGTTTAAAAATTTCTTAGTACTAAAGTGGACCTATAGCAAGATTGGGCATTTAGTTGATTAGGTAGTGCATATGGGAAAAAAATGCCTTAAAAATGTTTACACTGGGAAATGTGTTTCTGTTTAATCTCATGAACTTTTATTTTACAAATAAAATTGAGCACACATCAGTTAAGGTATAACTGTTCTTTTAAAACAAATACTTAGTATTTTCTGTCTGGTCCTTTTCTTTAAGTAGCTTAACTTAATTGAAGCTGTTGGCAGTTACAAGCTTCATTTTGAAACTAACCCAAAGGAGTCACTTTAAGAGAGTATGGCATGATTTTTCCATTTTGAAATTGCTTTTATACTCCCCCACTGAATGTTAACAAAGATCTTTCTTCTTCGAGTGATGTCCCCATAGGTTCTCCACTGTAGGTGCTGGGCTTGCCCCAGCGCCGCAGGACGGAGATGTTCAAAGCTGTACCTGACCGGACCGTACATGTGTGGCAGGGCATCTCCCGGCGTTCGCAGTCTCCCATGCTGCGCGATCCGGTCGCAGCCAGTTCCTCTTCAACCGCCTCAGGCTGCAGATGGAGCAGATCCTCTCTCCTCGTTATCCAGTGTTTGAGAGACAAAACTCTACATTCTTCAACTTATCTTTACTTAATACCGGTTCCCATTATGGTTTTCTTCTTCTCCTTAAAAAAAAATTCTCTTCATAATAGCTTGTTCGAACTCTTCTATGGCTAAGTTTGCGTTTCTCTCCTTACCCAGTTAACCATTGTATATAATTAAAAAAAAAAAGAAGAAAAGAAGTTTTTCATTCTCGGCTAAAATGCCTGGGTCCCCGGGTTTCAAAAATGCTCCCTATGCTGGCCTCTGATGGCCAAGAAGCATGTATCCGCTCTCTGGGAGAGAGCCATGTGCTGCAGAAATGCGTGAATTGCTCTAAGCTAATGGCCAGGGCTCGCCACGACTGTGCAATGCAGCTGAGGATGATTTTATTTGACAAAGCCCTTCAGCCCCAGGATCATCTTCGCAGCTGAGCACAAGTCAACAGCCGCAAAAGAGGAGTGCCTCCTTCCCAACTCAGGCATCCCCGAAGAAGTCCAAGCCATCCCTGGCCAGATCGCTGCCCTTGACATCTCAGAGCAAGCCTAGTTCAGGAGTGAAGTCAGCCGCTTCCTCCACCAGTGCTCAACCTTCCTCTCGAGTTCCCAAAAGGGCAGAATTGGCTGGAACATTGGGCCACTTAGCTGCTGCTTCCAGAACAGTGGATCCGACAGTTTCGGTACTGCAGCCATCGGCACCATCCGCAGCGTCGGAACCACAAACACAGTCGGCACCGACCAGAGCCCCTCTGGTACCAGAGCTAGATTCAGCACTGACTCGGGCATGGGAGCAAACAAGTCAGATGCCGGCATGGGAACTCATGGAACTGGCCCCAGCGTGAGACCATACGGCACCATCTACAGCATGGAACCATGAGCCGCTAACTCCTCCACGGCACCAACCGGCACCGTTGGCACGCAGCCGTGATGTGGAATGGGGTCAGGATGCACGGTCTTGGCCTCATTACCACAGGCCGCCCCCCTCGGTGCTGGAACACACGGCACCAGCTTCGGCATACCCGGCACCAGAGACATCGGCACTGGCTAAAGCACAGGTGAAGACTCATCACTGCCATCTCCACCTTTAGCATTCTTGCTGACTCCCTCTCCCTCTCCACCAGCACCATCTAGCTGGAGATCTCCATGGCTTTCTCGGAGATATGCAGCACCAGATAGGCTACCATCACCGTTCCTAACGCCTCCAAGGGTTGCCAGAAGAGACTCTTGTTGTTTCTCTGTGTCTCCATCACCTCTATGCAGACAATCTTATTCTCCGTCTCCATCACTTCATTCTCGGAGATCCTATTCCAGACATGATTATCCAGCTACCACCCCTATAGGCGCGCTCCGTCACGGTCCTCATACCATCATTGCGACCGCTATGACTATTATCAACA